TCAGCCGGTGAGTAGTCCGCCAGAGAGGAAAAGCGGCTACATGCTAATCGAAGGAGTAAGAGAAATTGATTGAAAAAAGAACATAATATGTCAATATGATTTTTAGGAATGTTAACCGGTTCCTGTTTCTTTTTTAGGTCGGTTAAAAATACTGTTGTGATTACAACGAGATTGTTGCATTCGCAACAAACGAATATACCTCATAATAATATAAAAGATAAAATGGTGCTTGTCTAATCTTTTTGATATCTTTCTTTCGTATAATTAAACTTAGTTTTTCGGAAAAGTAATAATGTTAGGGTTTTCTACTATGTAAGTAATAGCTTGAAAGTATTGTGTACAACATTTGTTGAAATGCGTATACGCATATATTTGTTAGCAGAATCCATTTGAAGGGATAACAATTGACAAAGTGGTGTTATTGCAATCAATTAGAGGGTGTTACCACCAATAGTAATATGTGTTAGTAACACAACAAAGTAAAACTGTGTTAAGAGGTTTGTAATAGTAGGCCTAGTTTTAGCATTTTCCGCTGTTAGTTTAGTTCCAAGATAGGCCAGGATCAACATGCCTTTTTGCAAAGAAATCCTTGTGTCGATTTAATCATGCCTTAGCAAATTAGTAGTAGTATTTTGCGGTAAAACGATCAAACGGTCCGAATTGTTCGTTGATTGTAAGTGATCACTGGTACCCAAGGACACGAGCAGCTGAATAGTCATAATTAAATTTCGGGCTTTTTCATCATCATTACATTTCATTTCATCATTTCATTTCATTTCATCATTTCACTTCATTTCATTTCAGGAGTATGTGGTGATTCCACTAAAAACCACCCCAACGGCCGGCCTCAGGTACTGTGGGAGGACCCGGGTCATGTTATTTCAGGTTCTCCCCGAAGTGACACTATGGCTAATCAGGCCCAATCGTAGGGGAAACACTTCCCCCTCAATGGCCGCCATCCTATCCCCAACCATAGCATGCAATCTGCCACCAGTGGTCCCCACTCTCTGGCGGCCCACGGCTACGTCGAGAGCTGGTAACGGGTAACGGGCAGCTTTTACTTAAATTGCGGGCCTATGAGGTGAGAGTACGCTCTTTTTATCGAGGAAATATTTTGTACTTTATATACTTTGTTACTGCATTTTCCAGGTTTTCGAAACTTAGATAGAATACTACTTCGTCCTGTCCTAGAGAAGGCAAGTAAGAAGGTTTTTATTTAAGGTAAGGTAATTGTTTTAACTTTTAGAATTGTTTGTATGATTACGTTGGCAAATAGGAGAAACCATAATTTGTAAATGAATTCCCTAACCATGAACTAATATCGCTGGTTGGAAAGCAAGCATGTCTATTGTGACACCAGTCATATATTGTCTGACGTGGTAAGACGATATCAATGGATTATTAAGATATTTTCAACATAATTCACGCGGACCATCTGATTAAGATGGCAAACATAGTAGTTACCTTGACTATCAAAGCGAAACCTATAGTTTACACAGTGGGTTTGTCAAAAAGTGACATGTGGCTGAGGCAGTTGATGATGAAACAGAAGTATCAAATATTGCGTACGAGTTCAAGTTTGTGTCATAAAATCATAAGCATACGAAACGTTGTTCGGTAGGCTGCTTGGGTTATTATTGAAGTAGCATTTTTTTTAATTTAAAGTTTTTATAGAATTACGTTATTCATCTTTGTCAAAATAATAATTGAGAATAAGTATTCAAAGAACTGCTGCAATTTATATTCTACGATGTGCATCTTGCGATATATTTATGATTAGATAGACTTGCAAAGCGTAGCTGTAATATATCATATTGTAAATCGTGTTTATGTGTTTTTTTTAAATGGCGCGTTTAAATTTACCTACGTAACAGATTTGTGGCAAAAATGTTGTTTGGTTCTATGCTTACTACGGGTCGAAAGCATATTATCCTATCAAAGAAAATTTCGACCTGCGAGATTGCAAACTGATAGGAATACAAAACCTGTCTGGCCTCGACACCGAACTTAGTTCTAAATGCGGCACGGCCATATTACATTTGGCGCTATCAAGTCTGTTATCATTTTAACAGATCATGATATCGTGATATCAGAATATTTTAAACTTGACTGCGCAAGATGACTCCATCGAGTGTGACCGAGTGTAAATATGTATATGTTAGTTTATATGTTTGAAGTTTCTTGGTCACGCCCTTGAGTGAATTGGTTTATTTCGACATGTGAGGTGTCATTTTAACCGTCTCAGTAGTGGAAGTCTATGATAGATTTCGGTTTGAATTTTGCGAAAAGAAAATGAGAGAGACGTCTGTCTCTCTGATTTTAAATAAGTTATGATTTTAAGTAAGCTTTTTTAAATAAGTCAAGGTGGTAGTGATCCTAACTACTAAAGCCGAAGGTCGTGGGTTCGATTCATTTGTTCTGTGTCTGATTTTAATTTATCTATGATAGGTGTGTATATAGTAAAAAATATTTAAGTATGTTTATCAGGGCAGAACCCTGTTTCCATAGCACAGACTATGCTTAGTTTGGGATCATACTCCCGTGTGTGAGATATGTGAAGTTATTATTGTTACAAAAATAATAAATGCCAAAAAAAAATTACAATCTAATTTCCTGATATTTATGCGCTGCCATAGGTACTGTTCATTCGTCTATCATAAAATTTTGCTTACACTTTGCCAACAAATGACAAGTTTTAAAACATTATTCAATTTCATTATCTTCGTCTTCGTGACTAACATAATGTTTTAAAAATATAAAATATTCAGAGCTAACGTGTTTATTGACAATCTTTTAATGTAATTATTATCTTTAGAATTTTTTATAATTGGTAAAAGTGCTAAACATCATATATGCAAACAACATCTAAACCTAAAACGTTTGCAGTTAATTGGGCTTTTGGTTTCAAAGGTCAAGGATATTATTTAAGAAAACCGATATATCTAAAAGAATGCAGATTACTCATACTTATGTGTATGCCACAAGAGAACTTAAGTGTTGCCAGATCTAATGCTTTTCCACTTTTGAAACCGAATTTTAACAGCAGGTTAATCATATTTTGCACCACCTTTATTTTTTTACAGATTTTTTTACTACAGTTTGGTCTTTGCGGTAGTCTCTAGCAGAGGCATGAGTTTGTGTCTATAAATGCAGTAAATTACGTGTGGTCAAAGAAAAGGCAGATAAAGAAAGTGGAAAGACATTGAAGGACACGATCACTACACAAAATTCTGATAGTCGTAACTCTTGCGTCGATTGTAGACTAAAAGGAAAACTAGAATTGTAACCAAATTTTTTTTTAGCTTACAAAAAAGGTTTCATGATAATTCAGAAGTAGTTTGTTATTTTCTGTATTTATCTATTTAATAAGGCAGCACGTGTATTGATTATAACTGGAAGTACAAAAAATTGCTATATAAATTGCTATATATATATATTCGACCGGATATCCTTTATCCTCTCTAATATCATTCCTGGTGTGCCAAAAAACAACCTACCAAAATTAATTAATATTCCTATTTTAGCTATTAATACTAATTAACAGTATAATTTAACTACGATATGTACTTTACAAGCTTTTTCTTTACAATTCATCAAATGGTCAACACTTAAAAAGGGTTATAAAATAATAAAGAAAACATTTCACTTGTATTCTCTTTAAAACTATTTCGTTTTTCCAACTTAGCTCGCATTTCTATACCCGGTCTCTGTCAATTTCTTAAGATATCATAATAAAACTCTTGTGGTAGGTATGAAAAAAAAAAGTAAATTAAATGGTAATTACACGCTCAACGAAACAACTACATAATACGTGTAGTGTCAGAGGTATTTTTTTATACAAGTTGTATGTACTGGATGGACTGGACAAAACTTTTATAAGACTAAATTTGGGTTCACCAGCCTTATCCTCGCCTATAACTTATAACCATCGCAAAGTTCGCCATCTACGGATACGTACTCGTATAGCTATAACGTAAACTCTTATCTCCCTGATAACATTTTAAATGCAAACATAAATATATTGCTTTTACTTGATATTTTTATTTATCTTTTATGAAATGGTTACAAGACAGTTTTGTATTACGAGGTTTTACTAAACCTGTATGTGTAGGTACCACCGCTCATGTCACATTAATTGCGGTATTCATATTTTCCTTTACCCATCGCAGTCTTAAATCAATTTGACTCTAAAAATATCCGTTATGTATGGAACTCAGCATTTTATCACATTTTTCACTGCCATATTTACTAATACTATCTACAACCAATATTCTGTTAAGAAGGCATAGGTCAAATTGATTTACATATACAAACGTTATATCAATTTATGTAACAAGCACATATCGATGTCTTATAATATAATATATTATATATTCGATAATAATATATCGAATCAAAGTATTCGATTCTACATTTGAAGTTGTTAGGAGGCAGGCAGCTGCTGATCCGAGTCTTTAATCCTAATGTTTATTATCTAATGAAAAGATAAATTACTATTAATTATCACACATATTATCATTTTGCGTCGTGTGATAGATAAGTGTAACACATTTTATATTCTGTAATTATTCCGGTCCCCAAGAGTGTTTAACATTTGATTTGAAATGAATATCTATGAGCTGATATACGAATATGCCATTGAGGTTATATATATATATATATATATATATATATCTCTTAATTTTTAGCTACACTTCAGGTACAGTATAGGTTAGAAAGAACGTCTATAGGTACGGGACTAAGTACAAGTAAACATTTGGTCTTTACTAATCTTCATTTTAGTTTTAGGTAAACCGAAACAGATCAATCTTCGGCGATAAAAACGCAGAGTATTTTTCGCAATTATATTTTTATTAGGTAGATATATACATAAATTGTCTATGACTTTGTAGAGGACAACCTAAAAAATACCACTCTAACTCTCGCCAGAAATTGGGTTCATCATCAGACACTGAGTAATTAAAATGCGTGGCAGAAGACTAAATTCTATTTTCTTTCTATTATTTTTTGGTAGGATAGTCTCTGGCCGGTGGCAGTGGCACACCACTTATTTTAGCGGCTGCAAGACGTGCTTCACGTTGCCTTCGTTTTTCTACTATACGTTCATGAGTCCGTTTCATTTCCAGGATTTCTTTCATCTCTTCTTTATCTTCGTCCTATAAAAACAACTAATCAAAAAAGAGCCTTGCAACAGTTACGTAATACGGGATGTTAATCAACGAACTTCAGAGTTCAAAACTCTCGAATAATTGCTGATTTAGCAATTATTCGAGAGTTTTGAACTCTGAAGTTTTTGGTTGACATACCAGTCAACTAAAATGTGTATGATTTAGTATTTCTATTGAGCGGGCATGTACCTGCCTGCCGATTATTTAATTACTTGGTTTCACTTATGGTAACACATTACTACAGGAATGTTTTAAATACCCTAAAAGAATATACTCGTAGTTGAGTACATACTAAAGCCCGAGTATTGTCCTGGACAGAGAGGAAATATGAGATAAAATTGGCGATTCTCTGAACATGTGCCGAACCCTTATTAAAAAATCTAAATAAGTTATTTAAAAGAGGTTTTACTAAAATGTATTTTATTTTTTCATCTACGCAGTCTATCTAAATCTTGTTGACTATAGAAATACAAACCTTTTGATTAATCCTCAAAACAAGCGCTCTTTTCCCATTAGCCATCGGTTGGCTGTAAGTCATTAGCTGCTTCAGCCTTTGTGCTGGTGGAACTCCTCGTTCCACGACCAATACGATACGCGCCCATTGTCTCTGCCATTCGTTTCGAGTCTCTGCGATCTTCTGATACGTGTTACCCATCATGGCTATCAACATGTTCACCAGCAAAATCGCCACTATTATCATGTAGACTACGAATAGGAGCTGCAAGTTAGAACTAAGGCTATAATCAATGGTTGGTTTGATGCTTTAGTTTTTTTAACATTTCTCTTTTTCAGTTTTACAGATAAAATCAATTAAGATACCGCAATACCGTTCCTTTATTTGATGGAATTTAGATACGTAAAAATCCGTTCATTTATCTTTAATCTATAAAATTTCTTGACCTGACTCACTGATTGATTCACCAACGTAGAGCCTAAACCGCCTCAAATTTTGTCAGTTAATGCTTTATATGTTGTGAGCACCCAATAAGAAAAGTTTTTTTACAATTTAATCCCTAAGGGGTAAAAAAACGGATGAACTTGTAGGACAATTACAAAACACGCAATAATAAGTTAATAAGTTTACAACCCGGGCAGCTAACCACGTTGTCCCTATGAATAATTAATACAAAATTAATAATTGTGCGTGGGCTTGGTAAGGAGATTAGCACAGTGAACATCGTTTGGTCACATCTAATGTAAATGCCAGCAATGTGCGAGGTCACCTCACACCTCAAAACTTACTTAAGTTTAATCAATTGACCATGCCACATCTATATTGCATATGCTCTTTTAGTTAAATAGTTATTTTTAACTGACTATAAAAAAATATAGGCTCTCATTTTGTTCTTGTTTTTCTGGTTTTAAGAAATATGAGCCTTATCTGCGGGGGTCACGAAACTAATTTTTAGATTCTGCCTTTATTGACACAAGGGGATCCCTTGTGTCAATAAAGGCAGAGACCCGGGCCAATTACCCCTCATGATAAGATAATTTTTTGGCAAATCAATTAGTTAAGTACACCTGATTGTGATCAGGTGTACCGAATGTGATTGGAATTAGATCGGTCTGATTTTCGTGTTTTCATGCGACATACATTTTTTTCTCAAAGTTTAACAAATTATTGTAAAGAAAATAAAGCATTCGTGTCAATCATTTATAGAAAACGATGGAAAACAATTTTCAAAGCGGAGAAACAGCTGGTACTCGCGATCTTCACCAATACTGTCTCCCCTCATCATCATCAACGTCATCAATAGCCTTTAGTAGTCCACTGATGGACATAGGTCTCTCTTTTACTTTAGGACTTTAGGAGTACACGGTTAATAGATAATCAAGACTCAAAATATCTTGAAGCGGTATGTATGAAATACCTATTGTAAATGTTTTTTTTAGTTAATGCCATTCTAAGTTTAACAAAAAGTAAATCCTCTATATCCGGGTTCCGACATTTTCCCATTATAACTGCCAATTTTACTAGACTACAAAAGAGATATTAGTTTTATTCGTATATGTTAAAATTTAATATTGATTAGAATAACTTAAATCTTACTTAAATGAAGGGAAAACAGAAGATAGCTTACCTTTGCCTCTATCTCGTGGTCGGTACGGTCGAAAGCGGTGTAATAGTCAGAGAAAGAAGTCAGTGACATGAGAAACATCGCCATGATGCTCTCCATTGGCGAAGGCATGGGGTTCGACATCGAATCGTCCACGCCCTCTGGAGTATCCGGGTTGTCGAAAGACAGAAATATCACGTAGTATGCTGCAGAGAAAATAAAAATATGCTGGTACGTATTACACATTTGTGTCTAGGTCGAAACGTTACACGGTCGAAATTTATGTAAATATATACACATATATAGTACATTTATAAACAGACTTAAGCAAAGAGACATTATTATGTATATGATACATACAGATATTTCACTGACCTAGAATCGAACCCACAAGCTCTGTTGTATTGGTCGAGTCAAGAGCACAGAGGTCGTCACATTAGTCACAATGTTTGTTTTATTATGTTGAAAGTCAACATTATTTGCATAATATTAGTAGTGCAAAAAAGTTTGTGTGTGCAATTATGTCTAATATGTTTTCTAAATTCTCATTTTTTGGTAAGTGTTTAATAATATTGTTGATATACTGCAGAAGTGTGTGAATTGCAAAACATTCGCGGTGCCCTTCTGACCTGATAAACTCACACTAGGGCCCTAGTGTGAGTTTCTTTCACAGCAACCCCATCGTCACAGCGAGCGCATTCGGCTTTGCGATTGGCTGATACACTATAGAGCCTTTGGTCAGTAAGTGTGGTGGTGGTGGTCGTTTATTATAGACTAGTATTTTTAGCTGTTGGTGGGGTAATATCTACGCTACCATAACAGGCACTACTCTAAAGGTATTTAAGAGATGTTTGAAAATGAAATAATTTCTTCTGTATTATTAATTGCCGTACCTTGTGAGAATCCCATGACAAATACAAGATAGATGCAGACAAACCGAAGCAAGTCTCCCATCACCATTCTGTAGATCATCACCACGAAAGGTCCTACAGTTTTGAATCCTCTGTTAAACATAAAAATGATTTTAAAACAATTATTATTTATTTAACATGAGGATCTCAAGTAAACATTCTATTACCGGCAAAAGAATAGAAAGTATGGTGCTGTAGTTAGCATGATGATGACAGCCAAGTGGTCTTCCTCTTTTTCTGCGCACCACAGGCGTAGCACTGGTAACACCAACATCAGCAGACATGACAATAAAAACATTACTCTGTAAAAGAGGTTAACTGTTTCACATTTAAACTTAGATTACTAATTATCTATATTAACTGTATTATTACGTAAAGGATTTTAGTAGAAAGCTAAAATTTAAAAAAAATGTGCCATAAGTCAAAATTACTTAAAACGCATATCCGTTTTTAAGTACGTAAAACTATAGGAGTCCAGTATATATTTTGACCTGTCATGTTATGTATCTACAAAAGTTTATACAAAGACAGTTCAAGTTATACTGGTCAATGAAATATAACAATTTTATTCAAAACGGTTGAAATTCATCCGTCAGGCGATCTCTAGTAGTATAAAAAAATAACCAGTGATTATAAACTGATTGTTTTAAGAACCGCAAATAATAGATGTAGTGTTATACCTAACATGCAACGGGGGTTTCTGAACCGACCACCCGAGTTGTCCAACTGGTTCGGAAACCCCCCATGCAGCTATTTAACCATATTTGTAACGACAACAAGCCTCATCGTCATCTTCTTGTCCTTTTCTCAAATTTATTTGGGGTCGGCGTAATGAGTTTTTGTCTTCCATTCTCCTCTGTCACTCGTCGGTTAACAAACGACAACAAGAACAAGATAATAAGGCTATGAGATCATTAAATAAGGAATAAAGAAGCAATTTATATTTCTCAAACTGTTTCCTACCTAGATGGCACAGTGCTAAGGTTCTCTATAAACATCTTCAGACCCAGAAACCTAGCTTCTCTCAGAGCAGCACCGAAGTATGCAAGTGCCCCCATCCACAGTAGAAGTTCCGCTGATATTCTTATCTGAACAATTAATTAAAACACAATATGTATAATAATAATATTTTCGGACATCTGACACACAACGCCATCAAGTTTCAAACTAAGCAAAGCTTGTTGTATGAAAACTAGATAGACTGATAGAATACTTACATACTTTTTTTATAAAACATTTTGCATAAAAACACCCAAACTCCGAAACAGATATTTGCAGATCACACGAACATTTGGTCTGACCCGGGAATCGTCCGACCTCAGCATCAATATGTTTATATCCGTGACATAAACGTATTGTATTATTCCTGTGGTGGCGGATTTAGAATACTGAATGTCACCAGTCCACCGCTATTCATCCCGTGGGTGGCGTAAGAGACGATTAAGGGAGCAAACTACGCAGGAAAATACGAGTACCACTGTAAAGTGAAGGAAAACTTGAAACAAACCCTGTGCCAAGCCATCTGGCCAGCGTGGTATAGTAAGCCAAACCCTCCTTTCTAAGGAGAGGCCTACGTCCAGCAGTGGACTGATAAAGGCTGTTGATAAAAATAGACAATAGTTTACTGATAATAATTATGGTTAAATTTGTACCACAGGGTCATAATACCAGTTGAAGGGCGGCAGAAGTATAATATACATGGCTTTTAATTTCTAAAATAAAACGATGTTACAAACATCACTTATGCAATTCTCTGCATATATATATATATATATATGATTGTTTATTCGTTATACCTTGGCCTGCCATGTGTCGAAGTTCATTAGCCTGCACTCTTCGGTCAGGCCCTCCCACCAGCCGGCCACATCTGTCTGTGGCGGCGGTTCTGTTTGTAATAAATATATCCAATATAAACTTCTCGACACGAACTCCAAGTTTCGAATATGAAAGAAATCCGGATATCTTTAGAATATTTTTGGTTTTTTTTCACAGTCACACAACGCCATCTAGTCCCAAGCTAAGCAGAGCTTGTACTATGGCTATTAGACAACTGATGTAAATACATATATACTTATTTTTTGGAAATACACACATATTATACATAGACATACCCAGTCATGTTCATGCACACAAATGTTTGACTTGAGCGGGAATCGAACCCGCGACCTTTGGAATCGCAGTCCGTTACAGAAACCACTACGCCTCCCGGTGGTCTAACTAATTTTCCATTCTAACTCAGCAACGATTTCAAACTAATATATAAAAAACATTAATTAAAAAAAAAAGTTTAATAAATACTTGATTTATCTTTGTCTTGTCGATGACTTTTAAAGCGGGCGCATTGTGGTCCGTCGGACTTGCTTCCGTTGATCATCTCCACAGCCCCGGGATCAAAGTCTGAACCGTTCAGTGGCATTGTGCAATTATCTACAACACAGAATTGTAAGCCTATACTATAATTAGTACAGTATTTTATCTGATAATACCTGTAACCTATCTTCTGTAGAAATCTATTTTCTGTAGAAATATAGATAGCCATCTATAGAACATTCACCATGATACACTTAATTTTGTACGTAAAGTAAACATAATTAGAAGTAATTGATAATGGGCGGTAGGCATTATAGAGGGCCTTATCGCTAAAAGCTATCTTCAAAACAACGTGAAAGCTCTAATCAGTTTATTAAAAAAATCGACTTATTTCGCTGTAATAATACGATATTGAATTAAATACCAAAAATTGGCGTTATAATTTGATTTTCTATAGTTCATAATTTTATAAGGGCTGTTAAAATACTTTAACCATAATATGAAACATCATATTAAGCTGTCTATCATTTTTCATTCTAACTTATTTTATTTTTAAATGCATTCTATAAACAATTTAGAATTTTGAAGTGCACATCCTCCAAAATTCTAAATTGCTTAATCAATGTTATTATTTAAATATTGCAAATAATAATCAAACTTAATAATAATTAAACCCTTAACTGGATCCAATAAGCATCGTAAAAAGATCAAATAAGAGATGTGATACTGTCATAGATAATATACATATCATGTCTACTTACCTAACTCTATGCTCAGGGATGTATCATTCGCAGGTCCTGCTGTAGAGTTTAAAGCTGTGCTATTTAGAGCTCTGTCAGGGGGCCCTCCAGGTCTTAGAGTAAAGCATACCAGCGATATCAGAAAGTAGCACGAAAATAGAATAAATTGCCGATAGAATCGGAATTTTACAAACGTATTCCATTTGGTTTTCAGAAGGTCAATCAGCATACCTTCCAAAAGAAGTAAATGTTCTTCTTTTTCCTGCAATGTTTTACAATGTTATTACTTCTTGCTATTTCCTCCAGTTTCTCCATTCTCCTAATACTCATAAGAGTCGTAGCGAGATTCTTATTTATTATTATTTTTGTAATTATTACGATATAGTTATTGTTTTCTGATTTCGTTTGGATTTCGTTAGTCGTAAATAGTAACAGTTGCAATCATTATGTTATTGATTATTAAGACTTTTTTTTCTCTTTTTTATTGGTGTTTCCCTAATAAAAAGAGAAAAAAGTCTTCAAATTTAAAAAATAATAATATACAGGTAAATTACACACAATCCAATACTATAAAAATTATTTTTTAAACTAAAATAAAACTTTCAAATATACAATAACAGATATAACAACAAAGCAACATCTCGGTGAAAAAAAGAACAGTTCAAAAAGGAAATAAATAAAAAAGTTATTTCCGGGAGGAACAAGACAGCTATGGACAGACTTTAAGACTCATAAATTGTCCACCTACCCTACTTACAAGATTTCTACACCACCCAAAGGTAGATTGGAAGAGAATGGGCTGGGCAATAAGTCCGCCGATGTAAAAAAAGTGCATTACGTTCAATAATAAAGCATTGCCACTTACTCCAAAAACTACCAAATTGAGAGCAGAATCTTTACTAATCAGTCCCGTTTCTGTGTCTATAGTATCAACTTGTCCTAATGGGTAGGCAGCACAAGTAGTTGCTCCAATCTGCCAATAGATTTCCCGCTCAATGTTCAGGATATGAAAAAACATCTCCGTACGCGCCAGTTTAGCTGCCAAGGTCAATGGAGTCAAATTTTGTACGTTACGATGTTTCAGAGATGCGCCTAGTTCATATGCCATGTCGAACGTTTCCTGTAGAATTTTCAAATTTAAACTTGAGCTCATGTATGTGACACTTTAAACTTGAATATTACTTTGTACCATAGGAACACTGACACCCGCAATACAGGTTATGACCTAGTTTGGGTGGGTGTAGCGCAAATTATTTGTGTCAGACTACCTTATATCACTAAATAATTCGACTGCTCATTTGCTTTTATTTGACTGGTGTTGAAATAAATTACTTTATTAGAAAAAAAAAAACACATTTCTCCAGAAGGCTAATCTCGTAATAAAAGTTCGGTCAAAAGTCAGTTCCGATCTTTGTCGTGGTTCCGATCTACTCTCAGTCTCACAAATGTCATAAAGGTTGTTTCGTGGTAAAATATTAAACATCCAACGTTGACTGCATGTGATTATTATCCTATTGTGACCGAAACTTGAATCAGTAATCTGCTAGTCTTAGTAATATTTTACTACGAAAATACCTTTTATGACATATGTTGTGAGATCGAGAGTAAATCGGACCTGAAATTGACCGAACTTTTATTACGACAATTGGCCTTCAGTAATAATTCCTATAACTATACATACTAATGAATACTTTTCAAGTAATTCATGGCTTTTTCGAAAACAGTTTGAAGTGTAGACTAAAATACTCGAACACACTACAAAACTTTTTGTCGTCTTGTCTTGTGTTCGACAAGACACCGGATTTTATAAATGAAAGATTTGAGGTCACACCTTAATATTCTGTTACATACTTAAGTAATACGTACAATTTTCTCATAAATGACAAGCATATGTAACACGGTGTTGCCGTTTGTGTCCTGCTTGTCCGGGTCCGCCCCTCGCGCTAGTATCAATCGATAGCACTCTTCCAGCCCCAGGCAAGCCGCGAAGCTTAAGGGATACTCGCCCCAGTAAACGTAGCTTAAACGATAGAATTATAATATTCATTAGTTATAAGACCACAATATTGGCCCGCCAATAACCTATAAATTATGTCAACAGGTTAAAAATGTAAATGTTTTTAGGTTCTAAAAACTAAAATTTTTGTTCTATATCCGTAATACTCTATGAATAAAATTAGTAACAATGTAAAAAAAAAGGATCTATAAAATATAATACGGATGCTCTACTTTATTATAAAAAAAACTCGTTATTTTATCTTCAAAGTACATCGTAAGATATCTTTACCCGTTATAATTAGTCTCGGGCTGCACTTTGACATACTCGTGATCAATTGAATCAGTTCTCGAAGCCTTCTGATCCTCGGGACACATGAAATTTCCGTAACAACGCTCGTGGTAGTTAGCACCAGCATCTAGTAGGAACTTTACCATGGTAGGGTCTTCGTTTACTATTGTTATGTGGAGAACGCTCTCGCCTGAACATAGGAAAGAAGTATATTTTGGTGTTCCGGTGTTAATAACGAACTGTACACTTAATTTGCCTTTGCAGTTATTATTGTATCAAGACTGAAGGTAATACGTTTAAGACATACTATGTATTCGCGTCCAATGTAAAATCAGTAACAGTTAAATATATACAGATTACACAAAGTGTATATTAACTATTTTATAACTACTAATTACATGCAAGCGTTAATGATTGCTTCGCATGGTCGTATACTGTTGGCTTTCCTAGAATATTGGCATTGCGATTAGAAGTGTCAAAGATTGCCACATTAATGGTAATGCTAATTCTATGCACTAGAAGAAGGCCCGCTTTTTTCAAAGAAACACCGCGTTGCTAGTAACATTATAAGATGCTCCTGAAACATCTAATTACGGGAAGAAAATTTCCTATTTGTATTTGCACCTCTGTGTAAACAAATGTGCAGTACAGATGTATGATATTTGGAATAATTAATGTTTTTGTATAGAAGAAGAGCAGGAAGCTAAAACTTTTACACAATATATGCTAAAAGTTAATAATTGTGCATGTAAAAGGCCTTTTAGAATTAAGTTTCAGTGAAAAGTTTGGGGTTAACGTTCTTGAAATATAATTAGTCTTACATTCTACAATATTGTCCCTAACATTTAGTTAGATGTGGAAAGAGATAATATTTAAATTCCATTTATATCCGTAACAATTATTTAACACTTATTGTAACATACAACATTCTACATAGTAATTAGTTATCGAAGAGGCGTGCACTAAATCATTGTCAGTTTAAGTTTGATTAAAATTTGATGGACGTTATCAACCTCTCTATCAGATTAAAATATGTTAAAAATGTAAGTACTTATATGAATTAAAGCCATGAATATGACAACATAATGCAGGTTAGTTCGTGACTTTGTAAATATGACATATGAAATAAATTGTCACAAAATGTGACATAAGGGTTATGAGATCTAAGAAATAATTATTATAATGATTTCCTTTGGAAGCAGAGATGTTGTTAAATTTTTAAGATACGTATAGAATCATTGGAAAGAGATACACCAATTGGCGTTGGTGAGTTGTTGCTGAGTGGGAAGTTGCCATATAAGAAATGTTTATATAGATATATTTAAATGTGTATAAAAGGATGAATACTAAAACAACTGCTCGGATGGCGTAGTGGTTTAAGCGGTCGCCATGCCGTTTCCTACTGCGCTGAGTGTTGGTGGTTCGATCCTCACATGGGACAAATTGTTGTTCTGAGTCTGGGTGTTCTTTGTATCCGTTTCATGTATGTTTGTAAAGTCCCCTGCGACACATGATATATGTATTCCTAATGCGGGAGTTGTCTTTAAAAATAAAGAAAGAAAACTTAATTGTGTAACCCTTTTTATCTGCTAGTCAACCAACTTTTTATTGTTGCGAAATTAGATAGGATTACTGTATGTAGGTAGAACAAATTTTTGGTCTTAACAATTTTATGGAATACAGCCGAATTCTGACTCTGGACGGCTGCCAAATAATTTAGTTTTGTATAATATAAATTATATTGCTATTATACAACTTGGCTATTAGATAATAATCAACTTACCGTAGTATTCGTCCCCCATATAGATGTCGTTGATGAGCTTTGGATAAAAACGCAATAATCTTTTTGCCAGATTAGCAAGTAACGACGATGCATTTAGGATGCACAAATGAAGAATTGTTTCGCCAACAGCGCCTCTTTCCTAAACATAATTAACTTTAAAAAAATATCAGAAATTATAATTAATAATAATATAATATAATAATATAATATAATATAATTATAAATAATAATAAATATTCGGAAACGCCATCTAGTTTCAAACTATGCAGATCTTATACTATTAAAGATAGATTGACTGGTAGAAGACTTTTATATGGGGTGGTATTTTTTCTTAAATGAGACAAAACGAGGAGTTTACCTACCCTTTGAATAAATAAAAAAAGATTTTTCTAAATCGGTTTGTAACTGACGGAATTATAAGGTCACAAACATAAAAAAAAACCAAATTAAAAACCTGCTGTTTTTTTTGAAGTGGGTTAAAAACGATTGAAGCAGCTATAGGTATTTCTTATAAAATAGACTCTTACTTTCAAGTCCCAACACAGTTCTCTATAACCTTCAGGGTTAGCGTCATACTCTTCTTGTGTGACTACTGGCCAATCTTTTTCTATATCAAATTCTTCATCAGGATTCTCCATACCACGTAACGGTGGTAGCTAAAAAAAAAGTAAATTAAATCTAGTAAGTCTATCTAGTTTTCTGGATATCATTAAACTACTTAGTTCTTTAGATGAATGTGATAAACGAAGAAAAATAAGAATATTTTAAAATTATGTATTTCTCATTGTAGCAGTAGAGTTAACACGGAAATTTTTGTTACATTAGTCATTTTTAGGCCCCCCTACGTCATTAATAAATCTCATAGTAATCTACATAAAGACCAATCAGCTCCTTTTTACCACAATGTATTTTAATTTTGTCCCAATATATGATTACTTCTGATGTTTGTGAAGAAAAAGCCAAAGTTTGTTACCTTCACTTGTGTTGTCATTAGCTTCTATCATCGGTACCCATACAAGCACAATTTTATGATAAAAAAAAAATACATTGCTAAACGACATTACCAAATTATGTCTCGCCCGTTCCTTATTTCTAAGCAGTACAACATGCGACACGGGAATGTAGCGTCCTTTGCCCTTGTTGTACAGAAACGGTTCCACCTTGGTCTTTATCGCGTGGTCTATCTCAGCGTACTGCTTGTTCTGCAGCGCACGCTTCATCATGTCCACTAACAAACCACCACCTGACAATAATAAATTAGATAGCATTGGTTTTTATTTCTCATAGAGCCTCGGTATGTGACGGTTATGTTGCGACGCATCGCCATACGCAATTTTTAAACTGATTTTAAACCCATTATTACTACAAAATAATTTCGATTTACTAGACATCCTGCGACGGCTCAATTTTCTTTATTTGATAAATATAAAAGAAATAAACTTGGAGACAACTTATAAGTATATTTCTATATATATTTATCTGGAGTGGCAATCTTTTCTTTAGTATAGGCTCAAAAACGTATACCAATGTTCTAACCCACAGATAACTGAGTGTACTGTAAAAGACCCTATGAAGGTCGTAAAAAGGATATATTTTATTTTTGTAACAAAAAGATATCCTCAGATACTCTATGAAAGAATAAATTGAATCAGGAACATTAAAGAAAACTTTTGTTACCAAACCATAAGACGGAATTCATTTGAGAGAAGAATGAATAAGTTCAGGCACCGTAAGTAAGTGACTAATATAACTTTACAGTATTAGAAACATGAGAGATTACGCAATATATCACCAAAGTAAATATATATCACCGTTTTATGGCCATCAAGCAACTAGTCTTACATTAAATAGCATTCGGATATTCCATAAAACAAATTCTGAGTTTTTTCATTTGTTCAATGTTACATAAACTAAAACTGACTTGACACAATATCTATTAACTCGATAGCTCTGACAAGATGGACTAAGATAGAAATTATTGAAATCAAGTGTAAATTACTGAAATAGGTGAACTTAGCAAATTGCTACACGATGCTACTGGACATCCTAAGTTGTTTTATATTACCTTTAATATCCACCAGTTTGTACAAATTCTGCAATGATGTTCCCGCCTGTTTCTTCACACCACTGGTCACATTGCTCTCTGTATTACCCATAGTAAGTAGTATGTAGTAGATTACTTCTATGAAAACTATTCTTCTGTCTAATACAACGACGAAAATTGGATGCCAGATAATGTTTTGTAATCGACAAAACTTCTGCGGTTACTATAACGATATTCACGGACAAGTAACAATCTCCTCACTTTTATAAGGACGTAAGTACGATTATATAGCTTAGAATTTTACTCTTGTTATGTATCAAACCCTAATAATATACATATATACGTATAGAATGAGTAATGATACTACGTTATATACTTTGTAAAGATGCCATAACAAGAGTTTCTACAAATATGAAACATAAGAGTAGAAACCATAAATGTGAAATTCAATCTAAAATCTTCTATATAAAGACATTACATTCTACAAATAACCAATCATCAGAAATAATGTTGTTTTCACGTTTTCAAAATACTTACCGTTACCTACAAAGCTTTCTCCTGTACCCACTTTTTACTTTCATCAATCATCAACAACCTTTAACAGTCCTCTGCTGAATGTAGGTCTCACCTTGGAAAAGAGGTTTTTTTTTAGCCTTATATGCCACGCTAGCCAGACGGGTTGGTATCATTGATATACAAAAATTTTTTTGTATATCAATGGTTGGTATAGAATTTGTTTCAAGTTTTGCTTTGCAGTGCTGTTGTCATGCGTAGTTTGCTCCCTTAGTCGGCACCCACGGGATGACTATTCATCCCTCCCCCCCCCATTATCACCCCTGTGGGTGGTGACACTCTGTATTCTTAATCCGTCACCACTCGAACACTATTATTACTTATTCAAAATACGTACAGTGCTCCTTTAGTGGTAAACATTACCAATAAAGAAGCACTGTGCACAGTGTAGACTAAAATTTTTTACAATTTTTTTTTTTTTAATTTCCAAAAACAAAAACTAATTATTTGGCGTAGATATTATGGTATTTAATTTTTAAACCAGAACTCTTTGTGAACTCTCCTATTTTAAATGTTTTATTTACCAACGTACTTACTTATTCTAAAAGTTCCCAGAAATCCTAATAACCAAAACTTCATAAGGTAATTTTAATACAAGATTCTTATTATCATTCTGTATTGGTGCAATAGTGTGCAAGTGAAAAGCTATACTCCGCACTATGGAAAATCGAGGTTTGTTTCAGATCAAAAATCGATAACTTTTATTTGTTAAGAAAGACAAAATAGCTTCAGATAAAGTTCAGATGCTATATTTTTTTAGAGTATTATTTATTTTAAAAATGATAAAAACAAAAAGTTTTCAGAAGTTACCTTTATTTTATTTTCTTAGGGACAACATTATATATATTTTGATTAAAAAGTTATTATTATATATTTTATTATAAAACTATAATAATAAAGCAACACACCTTAAATAAGTAATTAAAAGTTATGATTATAAAAGTTCTTCTTCTTCTTCTTCATAAATGGCAAACTGTGCCGATGTCGACAATTCTGCCAGTGTCAAGTGCGATGGAAATAAGTGGGTTTTATTACACAAAAAATTGAATTGATGATATTAATTGTAGACTGAATGTGGGGCTTTTTGTTGTGGTTAGTATTTACACTGAAACAAGCAGACAAGTACAAATAGATAAGATATGTATTAAATAAATAAATAGGTAACTAATAAGGAAACAATCACAAAAAAATAAAAATCCAATATTCATAGAAATGAAGGTCAAAGTCTGATGTCATTGGATCGGATGAACAACATCAAGACCTGGAGAAGGTGGGGGGAAGAAAATGTTAGGAGAGATGAGAAGTTGATAGGGATGGGGATTTTTAGTTCGGTAAGGTGAGAATAGAGATCTAGGGATGGGATATTTTTAGGACAACTGAAGAATATGTGATCTAGATTGCCTTCATCTAAGCCACATTCACATAAGGACGAATCCCGTACCCGAATCTTGTTCAGGAACACAGGTGAGCTGCAGTGACCTATGCGGAGCCTACATATGGTGGAGATGACAGGTTTACATACCTTCTTAAATTTATAGAACCAGGGTTTTGGGGTAATGCTTGGTTGGATTGCGTATTAGTGACGCCCTTTATGCTTTGAGGAATTATTCCACTCTTCCTGCCAGGATGTTAACAATTCTCTCTGAGGCAGTCTTAAGAGGTCGTAATGCTGGTGTGTAAGATGTTTCAGGTCCGACATTGCAGAAGTAGCAGCACTTTTGGCCAGTGAGTCTGCACTCTCATTGCCCACAATGCCACTATGGCTGGGAACCCATACCAGTTGAACTATTTTTGAGTTGGTGGAACAATTCAAAAGGGTTTTTTTTATTTCTAGGATCAGCGGACTGTGAAGTTTACTACGAAAGGGATTTTGTAGCAGGGCTTTAAGGCAACTTAGAGAGTCAGTGAATATGACTGCCTTGTGGATGTTGTGCGAGTCAATGTACAAGCATGCCTCTAAGATAGCAACACACTCGCCTGTAAAAACTGAAGCCTCTTTTGGACACTTATACTGTAAGAGAATTCTGGAGTTTTGGAAGTACACAGCGGCTCCAGTGTAGCTATCATTATTAAGTTTGGATGCATCAGTAAAGAACCTCTCAAACCCATCCCAGTGTTCAGCTAAGTGTGTATTAAAGGTGGAAACAGAAGAGGCAGATTTCTTAGGGATTCCAACATCCAGAAGAACATTCGGCTTAAAACAAAGGACGCTATAATTAAAGGAAAACAGAGGGAGTTTGTCAAATGACACAGCAGAGTTAAAAAAAGTAGAGTAGGAGCGAAAGGATTGTAGAATCAATGGAATTCCCTTATGAGTCCAGTAATTTGAGGTAGTACAAATGGAGTCTAATTCTAAGATTTTTGGAAGAAGAGGATGGGAAGATTTACAAACAGATTTTATTGTAAAACGTGAAGCGAGAAATTGTCTTCTTATTGATAAAGGTGGATCTGAACATTCCACTTGTAAGGCATTTATAGGGGAGGACTTCATGCAACCAGTAACAATGCGAAGGCACCCAGATTGGACTCTGTCCAGCTTTGCCAAAGCGCTTTTATTGCATGGAATCAGTAAAAATAGCCCATAGTCCAATATACTGCGTACTAGGGCATTATATACCAGTTTCATGGTGTATGGGTGTGCTCCCCACCAGACCCCAGCTAGGGCCTTTAAAATTGGGATTACACGTTCACATTTTGCGGTTAAGTGGTTCATGTGGTGAACGCCAGTCAATTTAGAGTCAAGATGTACTCCTAGGAACTTAAATTTGTTTAATAAAGGAATTTCCTGCAGCTGTACTTGGACATCAATCTGTGGCAGAGTCTTCTTTCTTGTAAAAATAACAACCGCACTTTTCTAAGCAGAAAGACTAAGGCCATGATCTGATAGCCACTGCCACAGAGAATTAAGGGAAATAGTGAGTGATGTGGCTGCCTCTTGGATGGAATGGTTCGAAACATATAATGCCAGATCGTCGGCATATTGAAGGATGCTACAATCATTGTTTAGGCATGAGCCCATGTCGGCAGTGTATAGATTGTACAACAACGGACTCAGTACAGAGCCCTGTGGTAAGCCCCTCCAGGTCTTTCTTTGGCGAAACTCTTCACCTAAGGTCCTTAGGACTAGAGTTCTGGACACAAGCATTGCGCATATGCAGTGGATCATCTTAACCGGAATTCTCAGCTGATGCAGTTTCTGCCTGAGAATGGGTATTAAGACATTGTCATATGCAGCAGATATGTCGAGAAAAGATGTTAGAACAGATGCATTTTGTGACAGAGAAAGACGGATATCAGTTATTAAAACTGCAACACTGTCCATTGTACTGAGCCCTTTGCGAAAGCCGAACTGATAGTTTGGCAGTAGATTCCTTGACTCTACAATCCATTCGAGACGGTTTTTGATGAGATGTTCTAATAATTTAATAAGGACTGATGAGAGGGCGATTGGTCTAAAGCTGTTTGGATCACCAGCATGTTTTCCTGGTTTTAGAATGGGGATAATAATTTGAACTTTCCATGTATCTGGGATCCAACCGTTAGAATAACAGAAATTCAAAATGTTTAAAAAATAAGTTTTTGTACTAGGCTTGGCCTGAACTATGAAAGAATATGGAATGCCGTCTATGCCAGGAGCCGAGTCTCGCACACTGTTGAGGACCATGTTCAGTTCTTCCAGAGAGAATGGGTCGTCATGGGTATCCACTGACTGAAACGGTAAGTCTGGTAAGGTCGCTTCATCGAGTTGTGGGACATACGGGGGGGCAATTCTGTCCAGGAAAAGCTCAGCTGTATTGGGGGAGATAGAGGAAGAGACAGAGGGCGAACAACCAGATCGGAACCGATTTATGTTCTTCCACACCATTGAGGATGGGGTGGATGGGGACAAGGAGGAACAAAATTTAACCCAACCGGCGCGCTTCTTGCGTCGAAGGAGTCTTTTGGTAGAGGCGAAAACGTTTTGGTTGGTGAGTAAATTATGGGTGGTCATATCGGCATTGTATCTCCTTTCGGACTCCTTCCTATACTTGACTGCCCTAGTACATTCACTGTCCCACCAAGGAGGTGACGGAATTTTGCCTTTGCTCGAGTTTTTAATTTTGAAGGAACGAACGCGTCACAACAGTCCATCACCAGGTAACGATCATCCTGGGTTAAGGGTCTAAGGTCTAGTCTGGGGAGAGCATTCACAGAGTTTTCGAGGGTTTGGGAGAAATTTTGCCAGTTAGCTTCTGAAAGGATATATGTTAAAAAGGGGGGGGGGGGGAGATTTTACCAAGTGGGTTGAAGTTGGGAGGGTTACTAAAATTGGATAATGATCGCTACCATGCGACAGATCGGTGCACTGCCAGCTAGCAGCTGCGGCGATGTCGAGTGAGCAAATAGTCAAATCCACACAGCTACTATTTTGACCAGGAAGAACTCTACGAGTGGAGCAGCCACTGTTAAGTACGCAGAGGCTCAGATCATCGAGGATCTCCACTAAACCTGAACCGAAAGAGTCGCAGTGTTCAGATCCCCATCTATAGTGATGGCAGT